TTTATGATCTTGATCTCTCTCTTGTGTCAGTTTTTCCAGATGGAGGTCAGGGTGATGTTTGCAGGAGAACAGGGGAACCAGGCTTCATCTTAAAAAACCTACATACATTTTACTGATCCACCTGTTGGTTCTGTGGAAATTAACAGAGGTGATTTTGAAATTATGCCAAATATAAGTGTTGGATATATTATGCTGTTAACATGTCTGGGTTGCTTCAGTGAACTGTATCAGTCTCTGCAGTAGCTTCCAGCTGCAGCAGTCAGTTCAGTTTCTGTTCAGTCTGACTGAGGGAGGTTTTTGTACGACGCTTTTTCACTGTGTGAACAACAACTGACTGTTGATATAATGATAACTCTTACAGTAGTAAACTCCTGTATCTTCAGCCTGGACTCCACTGATGGTCAGAGTGAAGTCAATTCCATTCCCTGCTCCACTTCCACTGAATCTGGAGGAGATTCCAGATTGTCTGTCTGATGTTCTGTAGATCAGAGGTTTAGGAGCTTCTCCAGTTTTCTGATGGTACCAGGCCAGGAAGTATTGTGCACCAGAGTACTGAGCAACTTGTGTACTGGCTTTACATTCAATAGAAACAGTTTGTCCCGGTTGGACTGATTTGGCTGCTGGCTGAGTCACAACAACATTCTGTCCAACAGACCCTGAGGAGAGAGAAGAAACAATGGACATGAGATGGTGAGGTGAAACTCAGCTACACTCCAAATGATTTTCACAGCACAGAAAACTGATTTTCCTCACCCTGAGTGAAGCAGAGGAGAGTCCAGATGAGGACGGAGATCAAAGTCATGTTTTTGATGAGGAGGATTTCTGTGTCTTCTGTTGTCATGAAGGACAGCTGTCAGTCATCCAGTGTTCAACTCTCAGGACTATAAACTCTCCCAGAGCACTGGAGCATGGTGCTGCTGATGCAAAGTGGCTCTCTATGGAAATGCTCTGACTGACTCCAACAGGGACTTGGATTACTCTGATGATGCTGTTTCTCAATGGATCAATCACTTTATCAGAGTATTGATTAACAATGTATCAGTGATCATTTTAATGTGGAATGGGCTTGATGACTGCACAATGATTTTCTTTCAGAACGTCTTCTGTCTGCTTTAATTTAATGCTAGAGAGATCAATGTTACTTTCAGACATATGGAACAATAAATATGTAAAAATGTGATTCATTCTGAACAATTGTGGCACTGTTTGATAAATAGAACATGAAATAGTTCATTCTTTTAAAAACAGGAACTGTTGATGTTGACTTTGTTGTGTTCAAAGTCAGAGAGCCGTGTCTCTCTACAGTGAGAGGTTTTTGTACGACGACTCAATCAGTTTGTATCACTGTGGTACACATTCGGTGGAGGAACCAGACTGGAGGTTAACTGTAAGTACTTTTAACTCCTTGAATGAGACACATTTTATGTGTTTTATAATTGAATTTCATAGCTGTAGACCTTACTAAAATATTTTGTTGAATATTTGAAATTCAATGTATTTACAGCAATTCTTGAAGGTTTCACAGTGTTGTTAACTGGACTAAATTCCACTCCCATTAATAATCTGGTTGCACAAAAACTTTGGTTCCCTACATTCTTATTGATTCATTGTAGAATTCATTGAATGAAATTTAAGTTTTGACATTTCTGCATTTCTGACAATCATTTTTAGTTCAGGGTTAGATCACTGTGGGTATGACTCAGTCTTTCTCCAAGACTAATGATTTAAAGCCATTCTAGGTATTTCTTTTGAGAATTGTATGAGTTTGAAAACGTAGTTCAGCAGTTAAAAATATTCATTTGAAAGTATCAGTAATGAAGTCTGACTGATCAGTGATGACTCCTGCTTACATGGACACATCTCATCATGAATCAGATTTGGACTTGAGACAAGAAATGTTTAAAATAAAAAATGAAAGAATAAAAGACTCACAATCTTCAGCTCATGAGGAATATTTTGAACTGTATAAGTCTGATTGTTTAATTTAAAGTTAGTTGCAGTAAAAGAGTGCCAGTTTTAATGTTTTATCTTTAATACTGAAACCTGTCTGTTGCCATGGTTCAGCAGTGATGCCTGTCTGTTGCCATGGTTACTGGGTTCAGAGAGGGAAGTGAAACACTGAAGACCAGTTTCATCCAATCTGAGGAAGACCAACAGAAGCAGCAGCCTCCTCTGCTGCAACCAACAGGGTGGAGTTTATTTTCTCTCTGTATGAACTTTCTTCATATTGTCTCTCTGTCTCCTCCTCCAGTGGGTCGAGTCCTCCCCACCCTGACGGTGCTGCCCCCTCCAGTGAGGAGCTGCAGCAGGGGATGGCCACGCTCATGTGCCTGGCCAACAAGGGCTTCCCCTCAGACTGGAGTCTGTCCTGGAAGGTGGACGGCAGCAGCAGCAGCAGCAGCAGCTGGGAGCAGAGCAGGAGCCCCGGGGTGCTGAAGGACGGCCACTACAGCTGGAGCAGCACCCTGAGGCTCTCTGCAGACCAGTGGAGGAAGGTGGGCTCTGTGACCTGTGAGGCCACCCAGGGCTCCCAGACTCCGCTCTCAGAGACACTGAGGAGAGACCAGTGTTCCCAGTCCTGACCTGACTCACTGGGACTCTGCTACTGGTTTTACTCTGCTACTGCTCTCACTGTGCACTCTGTAACTATCTCTCTCTTTCATTTGACATGTTTCAGTCAGAATATTTACTAGCTTGTTGCAGTGTTTCAATATTATGTCACTGTTTCCAGATAATAAAGACGTGTTCATCAAATCAGTTGTTTTCATCTTTATTATTATCAAAGTGTCTTAATGATTTTCTCTTCATGGTGTCAGTGACTGGATTACATCCAGAGAACGATGTTTAAACTTCTTCATAATGTTTAAGATAATGTAATGTACAGCCATATATACTGTATATCAAAAGAGTTTATACACTCCAACAAAACTCCTCATTATTGTTTGATTAGTACAAACCAGTGATGGTCGTAGTGTAAGTCCATAATATGTTGTCATAATCAATATGAATACCGTCATTGCTGTACAACTGTTTCTGATATAATCATTACAGATTTGTCTGTAATAATAAACCTTTGGAACAATAAATAAATCATCCAATCATCTCTTATTACTGAAGGGTCTTAATGGTAAGGACTCTATTATTGTTATTGCTTCAGCTGTATCTAAAGAACATGAAATCTTCTTTGAATGAAACCACATAACTATTTTCCAAATCTGATATAAAAATCACAATATCATCAGCATGAGTAGAAACATCATAAATATGATCTGTAGTTCTGCCCCTTGATCTATTCACACACTGTTTCTACTGAAGAACCACAAAGACAAACAAAAGAGTTGACATAGGGACAGAATTAAAATGTGAGTGATTTACTTCATTAATCCTGTTTTTGGATTCAGTTATAAACTAAATGTGTTTGCTGGAGTACTAAACACACTAAATGACGTAAGTTATAGATATTTGTACGACACTAATAAACTACTAAATGCTTTTTTATTATTCATAATATCAATAAACATATGTTTCATATCATTATTTATATAATATGATGTAGATTATTGACATTTTTCAGGATTTAATGGAGAGTTTCTCTCTAGAAATATTGTGTCTTTTAATGAAAGAGAAATGAATATTGCTTGTACACATTCTCACAAACAAAAGGTTGAATAAATATTCATAGTGTGTGAGTTGATTTTAATACTTTAACCAGTTATTACATAAACTGGGTAAACTGGGAATGTGTTTGGTGAGTTTGTTTGTGTCAAAGTCAGAGAGCCGTGTCTCTCTACAAAGAGTTTATGAACTCAGGGGAAACTCATATCCATCTAAAAATAACCACAAAGGCAAACAAAAGATTTGACAAAGGGACAGAATTCACATCAGTGATAAACATACTTCATTATTCCTTTATGGTTGCAGTAATAACACACATGCATTGTTTGCTGGAATAGAAAACACACATATTTGGTAAATTATGTTATAGACATTTTTAGAGATCTGTTAAAGCTTTTTTTTTTTACCAATGAGTATTTTTGAGTTTTAATCAAAAATGCTGGGATATAAAATAAAAAATATATCATATTTACCGTGTTATTATTCATACTCCACGATGAAAGAATTTAAATCATACCTTGACAGAGGTTACCTTTGATGTGCAGCAGCCTGTTTCAATAAAAGCATTAAAAGTATAGCTTTAAAGATATGGAATATTTAGTGTTTAAATGTTCAAAGTGAATTATTATTAATTATATTTTTTTATGAAACCTCTGTTGTTTTAGTTTCAGTGCAGCTGTTGAGTCAGATCAGTTCCTCTCCAGCTGAGGGAGGTTTTTGTACGACGTTGTATCACTGTGTGAAAAGCCAGCTGTGACTTTGCTGACAGTAGTAAACTCCTGAATCTTCAGCCTGAACTCCACTGATGGTCAGAGTGAAGTCAGAATCAGATCCACTTCCACTGAAACGACTTGAAACTCCAGACTGACGAGTTGAAGTTGCATAAATCAGGAGATTAGGAACCTCTCCAGGTTTCTGAAGGTACCAGTAGAGGAAGCTATTACTAATATCTGAACTGGCTGTACATCTGATAGAGACAGTCTGTCCTGGAACAACAGACTGAGATCCAGGAGACTGAGTCAGGGTGATTTGTCCTGATGAACCTGAAAACATGAAACAGAGGAGAAGGGTTATTGAGACAAATCCAGCTTGGAGAAAGATGATCAACATCCAAACAGAAGAGTATCATTTCTTTAACATGGAGAATAGATGGAAGAAGGTAAATGCTGCTTGTTTCACTGTTTCTCCATCATAGCAGAACATCATTGTGGTGAACCTGGTTGCATCCTGAAGCAAAGTTTTCAGAAGAGAGTCTCACCCTGAACAAGGAGCCCCAGGGTGGCCAGCAGTAGAGTCAGTGACATCATCATTGTGCTGCCGGCGTGTCAGTGGCTCTGAAAGGCCTGGACAGCCACTGATCAACACTGGCCTCTTAAAGGCTGGGAGCAGAGAGGAAGGACACATATGCAAACACACAGAGTCAGTGAACTGTAGCTGTCCTCAACATATCATGCTGTTTCCTCCTCACTGCTGGGAGTACTGACTGTTTAAATCATCCTCATGCTGATTCACAGAAACTCACAATGCTGTATAGTTATTGTAAATTGATGTTTTAAGTAAAGAAAATGTTTGCTTCTTCATTAATTTAACTATACAAAAGTCTAAAAAGGAAAATCTGTTTTATAAGAGAGGATGGGCCGAGGTGGCCTCATGTAAACAGCATTAGGTCAATAAATCCACTAACACACATATAGGCCAGGACAACTGTCAAACATTACACTAAAAATAATAGAGACAATGAAGGTCCATAAACAGGTCACACTAAACAACTAACTTTATTTTACAGAAAGTACATTTCAGCCTTTTTTCCTCAGCACAACACTGGACCAAACGTTCATCAAACTGTTGTAAAAGACCTGAGATCAAATGTGGATTACAAGGAACTATCAATTGTATCACTATTGTATTTAAATGATGTCATTAGTAGAGTAAATTACAGTACACTGCACGTCCATATAGACTGTAGAGCTATGTTGTTCTCTGTTGTACACTGTTAAACTGGTTCAGTCCTTATCTGTCAGGCAGAGATGATGTAGTCTCACATGGTCAACATTCCTCAGCTACTATCAGCATATTATATGATATAAAGATGATTCACAGCTGTGCATTGTTACATCACAAAATGATTTCTGTCTGTTCAATAAATATGTTGATTTTTCTCTTCATTATTTATTATTATTCATATTTATTGTCCCAGTCACGGCTGTGACTTCACTTCTGTGTTTGCGTTTTGCAGAACTCACAATAAATACCTATTACTAATCTGAACTCCTGTGTCTGAGTCTGCTTCTGGGTCCAATCTGTGTTGGACCTATGCACAGCTAAAAGTTTATTCCTGCCGGATCCTCGAGGGTTAGCAACCTCAAATATAAAAGATTATGGATATTAAAGATGTTTTACCATCTCTCTAATCTTTCAGAATTCAGGAGTGGTTGGTGTGTCAGATTATTTTGGAGATATTGCACTTGAACTGAGGTCTGACTGAGCGATACCTTCACTGTATCTTTAATACTGGCAAATGTTTCCAGTTGCATCAATACCCAGGTGGATTGGGGTCGGCTCAGTGCAATCGAATCTTTGTGTTTGATCAGTTAGAAATACGAGATTCTCATGGAGATCCTTAATACCACTTTTAGGCGCATTGAACTTTATTTTTTAAACCAAAGATGTTCTTCAACTGTGCACCTCCTGGAACTCTCCAATCAGTTTATGAATGTCAGCAGCTAAATGTGAGCCTGCGTTTGGAGATAAAACAAGGCCAGACTGTTCATAAGACCATTCTCTTGTACTTCATTACTTACATTTTCTTTTCCACCATCCAAACCTGTTTGTGACATTTTGATCATTTCACAGTTTTAATGAGCTAACTGTACTGACAGTGGAAGTACTAGAACTGTGGGTACATCTTATTTTTATGTTTCCAGCTGGTGATACGGATATGAAAATAGTAATAACTAATTATCATAGTGGTAAAACACTTTGTCCTGTCTTTAATATGCAACTGGAGATGCTCACATAAGGTTGAAATATGTACTGACACAAAGCTACAACCCTCCATTTTCAATGCTGCAGCATCTCTTTCTGTGTGTTGGTGGCACTGGTTGAACTGTGTGTCTGTCGTATCAGTATTTGGTATTCATTGTTCAAAATGTCATTCAATAAAGACGAGTGAAGGCAAGAGCTGCGTTTCTTGTTTCTTAATCCTTCTCTCGTTACTATTCACCTTGTTTAAAGTTACTGTGTGTGTGTGTGTGTGTGTGTGTGTGTGTGTGTGTGTGTGTGTGTGTGTGTGTGTGTGTGTGTGTGTGTGTGTCCTCAGTGAACTGTATCAGTCTCTGCAGTAGCTTCCAGCTGCAGCAGTCAGTTCAGTTTCTGTTCAGTCTGACTGAGGGAGGTTTTTGTACGACGCTTTTTCACTGTGTGAACACATACTGACTGTTGACAGTGGTTCCACCCATACAGTAGTAAACTGCTGTATCTTCAGCCTGGACTCCACTGATGGTCAGAGTGAAGTCTGTCCCTGATCCACTGCCTGAAAAACGAGTTGGAATCCCTGATTCTCGCTGATTTGCTAAGTAAAGAAGTAATTTTGGAGTTTGTCCATTTTTCTTTTGGTACCAGGATAAACAGGGGTCACTAGCACTGCTTCCACAATCTTCATCAACCCTCTGACTGCTCCTACAGCTGATGGAGACGGAGCCTTCCACAGCAGAGCTCACTGCTCCAGGCTGAGTCACTGTGACCTGGCCTCTGGACTCTGAGGATACAGAGACAAAAACATAAAGCAGCGTCATGGTTCTGTGGGCTTCATTTCAGAGGGACGGATGTTCATAGAGGAGAGGAGTTTGATTCTCTGGACTTTACCTGTGAAGCAGCAGCAGAGGAGAGTCCAGATGAGGACGGAGATCAAAGTCATGTTTTTGATGAGGAGGATTTCTGTGTCTTCTGTTGTCATGAAGGACAGCTGTCAGTCATCCAGTGTTCAACTCTCAGGACTATAAACTCTCCCAGAGCACTGGAGCATGGTGCTGCTGATGCAAAGTGGCTCTCTATGGAAATGCTCTGACTGACTCCAACAGGGACTTGGATTACTCTGATGATGCTGTTTCTCAATGGATCAATCACTTTATCAGAGTATTGATTAACAATGTATCAGTGATCATTTTAATGTGGAATGGGCTTGATGACTGCACAATGATTTTCTTTCAGAACGTCTTCTGTCTGCTTTAATTTAATGCTAGAGAGATCAATGTTACTTTCAGACATATGGAACAATAAATATGTAAAAATGGGATTCATTCTGAACAATTGTGGCACTGTTTGATAAATAGAACATGAAATACTTCATTCTTTTAAAAACAGGAACTGTTGATATTGACTTTGTTGTGTTCAAAGTCAGAGAGCCGTGTCTCTCTACAGTGAGAGGTTTTTGTACGACGACTCAATCAGTTTGTATCACTGTGGTACACGTTCGGTGGAGGAACCAGACTGGAGGTTAACTGTAAGTACTGTTCACTTCTACAAGAACTCGAAATTAATTTAAAATCTATTTTTATTGAATGAACAAAAGTTTTCAAAAATAATTTAGCTCGTAGTAAAATTAAAATAATATTAAAGTGACCATTACAGGCTTCATTGTAATACAGAACAAATTCTGTCTGATGAAAGAACTTTTGACTTGGCCTTAAAATGTTAAACATGATGCTTATTTAAAGTGTTAAAGTTTTTATTGTTCTTAAAATATACAGCCATTTATTGAAGACAACATTCTGATCAATGATTTCTCCTCTGACAAAGTTCTGTTTTCAGACTTTTTATTTCTTCACCATTTTAATGAAATAACTAATTTTGTGTGGAAGAAATGTTTCCAACATTTATTGAGTGAGTGTATTATCTGGAAACATTGTTTTACTCAATCTTCCTCCCAGACCGATGAATGTAATGATATGTAACATCCTCACTATAACCAATGAATATCATAATGTCACTACAGCTTCTTCAACCACATGCTGTATTAGTGAAATTCATATTATGAGTTGGAAAAAGGATTTCAGCATTTAAACAGTTTGTCAGCAGTGAAGTCTGTCTGTTGTCATGGTTCAGTAGTGATGCTGCGTAAATGAAGACAGCAAACACACACTGTCTCTTATGAGTTTTGGATTGAGCTGAAAAATAGAAGAATAATGTCTTTTAAACTTTTAATAACATGTAATGATTGTTTAGGTTTGTTAATTTAACCAAAGAAAGAGTTTCTGCTCTCAGCTGTTTAGTAGTTTTAACTTTTTTAGTTGCAGTAAAAGAGTGCCAGTTTTAATGTTTTATCTTTAGTACTGAAACCTGTCTGTTGCCATGGTTCAGCAGTGATGCCTGTCTGTTGCCATGGTTACTGGGTTCAGAGAGGGAAGTGAAACACTGAAGACCAGTTTCATCCAATCTGAGGAAGACCAACAGAAGCAGCAGCCTCCTCTGCTGCAACCAACAGGGTGGAGTTTATTTTCTCTCTGTATGAACTTTCTTCATATTGTCTCTCTGTCTCCTCCTCCAGTGGGTCGAGTCGTCCCCACCCTGACGGTGCTGCCCCCTCCAGTGAGGAGCTGCAGCAGGGGAAGGCCACGCTCATGTGCCTGGCCAACAAGGGCTTCCCCTCAGACTGGAGTCTGTCCTGGAAGGTGGACGGCAGCAGCAGCAGCAGCAGCAGCTGGGAGCAGAGCAGGAGCCCCGGGGTGCTGAAGGACGGCCACTACAGCTGGAGCAGCACCCTGAGGCTCTCTGCAGACCAGTGGAGGAAGGTGGGCTCTGTGACCTGTGAGGCCACCCAGGGCTCCCAGACTCCGCTCTCAGAGACACTGAGGAGAGACCAGTGTTCCCAGTCCTGACCTGACTCACTGGGACTCTGCTACTGGTTTTACTCTGCTACTGCTCTCACTGTGCACTCTGTAACTATCTCTCTCTTTCATTTGACATGTTTCAGTCAGAATATTTACTAGCTTGTTGCAGTGTTTCAATATTATTTCACTGTTTCCAGATAATAAAGACGTGTTCATCAAATCAGTTGTCTTCTTCTTTATTATGATCAAAGTGTCTGGATAGAAATGATTGAAAACTGAACTGATGCAAAGAATATAGATTATTCTTTAAATAAACCCACAATAGTACATACCATTTTCTAGATCTGAAATGAATATGGGTACATCATCAGCACAGAGAGAATCAAAATAAGTGGATGCAAACAACATGCATTATCCTTTAAATAAAACTACAACAGAATCATCATCATAAATTTATAACAGCACATCATCAGCATAGATAGTTTGATTGATAAGTCTATTGCTGTGAACATTACAACATAGTAATTTAAAGTTAGTGTAAAAATGTTTTTTTCCAGAATTAAATACTTGATTAATGTATTTGACACATTTGTTTGTTAGAATACCTGTTGGCTCTTTTGAAATAAAGACACTAGCATAGTAATTGAGTCATAAAGTTGTTCTCTGTGTAATCATTTGTCCTCCCTATTTACATACAAGAGGGGGTCAGAATATGCAGCACACATTTACCATTTATAACTATCACCTCTATTACAGCATCAACAAAAACTGAACATCATAAAAGTAAGTAGATTTATTTCTAATTGTTACTTTTATTTATACAGAACATTTGTGTAGGATTTCATTATAATGTACTGGTGTACCTAAGTGACCACTGAGTGTTTCTACTACTTCCATAATACAAAATGTTGTGGGTTAAGGAGGTGCATCACCATTTCTAAGGTTTATTTAAGTTAAAGTCTATTCATCCTTCACTTTAAATCCTCTGCATATGTGTTCATTTAATGGTTTCATCTTTAATATTCTCTAAATTTATAAGGAGTATGACCTAGACTATAAACTGCTCTATACAAAGCCTGTCCTGAGATAAATTCTGTTATAATTTGGTGCTATACAAATTAAATTCTTCGATAATAACACAAAATTCTCAGTGAAACAAGAGGTAGCCTTCAAAAAATTATAATGATATGACAAATCTTCTCCAGACTGATATTGTATTATATTTTTTTGTTGAATAATTTGGTTTCAGATTAAAGCATTGCTCTAAGACTATGTTTAAGTAAACTGTAACAATGTGATGATATGTAAGACACTGTTTCAGTAATAATACAATAATGTCCTGAATTGTTAAAAGTTAAAATATATATTTTTTATACAATCATGAGTTTTCATTTCAGAGAAGCTTCTGGGTTTTTTTTGTTTCAGTAGAGCTGTTGAGTCAGTTCAGTTCCTCTCCAGCTGAGGGAGGTTTTTGTACGACGTTGTATCACTGTGTGAACGGGAAGCTGCCAGTCTGCTGACAGTAGTAAACTCCTGTATCTTCAGCCTGAACTCCACTGATGGTCAGAGTGAAGTCAGTCCCAGAATAACTTCCCTGAAAACGATTTGAAACTCCAGACTGAAGGTTTGTATTTTTATAAATTAGTAGTTTAGGAGCTTCTCCAGGTTTTTGAAGGTACCAGTGGAGGTAGCTTGTAGTAGAATTGCTTTTACATCTGATGGAGACAGTCTGTCCTGGAACAACAGACTGAGATCCAGGAGACTGAGTCAGGGTGTTTTGTCCTGATGAACCTGAAAACATGAAACAGAGGAGAAGGGTTATTGAGACAAATCCAGCTTGGAGAAAGATGATCAACATCCAAACAGAAGAGTATCATTTCTTTAACATGGAGAATAGATGGAAGAAGGTAAATGCTGCTTGTTTCACTGTTTCTCCATCATAGCAGAACATCATTGTGGTGAACCTGGTTGCATCCTGAAGCAAAGTTTTCAGAAGAGAGTCTCACCCTGAACAAGGAGCCCCAGGGTGGCCAGCAGTAGAGTCAGTGACATCATCATTGTGCTGCCGGCGTGTCAGTGGCTCTGAAAGGCCTGGACAGCCACTGATCAACACTGGCCTCTTAAAGGCTGGGAGCAGAGAGGAAGGACACATATGCAAACACACAGAGTCAGTGAACTGTAGCTGTCCTCAACATATCATGCTGTTTCCTCCTCACTGCTGGGAGTACTGACTGTTTAAATCATCCTCATGCTGATTCACAGAAACTCACAATGCTGTATAATAATTTCATACTAATCTAAAACTAAATTAAACAGTTTATTTTTTATTTACTTAAATACAGAAAGAGAAAGACATGGTGCTCATACAGGTAACTGAAATTGAAAACTAAGCAACTAACTTCATTTTACAGAAAGTTACTTTCAACATTTTTACTCATCACTGACAACACTGGACCAAACATTATTAAGGTTATAAAAACGTAAAATAGATCAAATGTGGATTATAAGAAACTATCAATTATATAACTTAAGAATTTAAGAGATGTCATTAGAAGTGTAAATTACAGTATGCTGTACATCTACATCTACTCCAGAAATATGTTGCTCTCTCTGTCACAGTGTTAAACTGGTTCAGTCCCTAACTGTCAGGAAGAGATGATGTAGTCTCACTTGGTTAACAGTCATCTGCTACTATCAACTATAATCCCACAAGGCTTCATCCTAGGTCCTCTTTTGTTCAGACTTTACATGCTGCTATTGTTTGATACTGCAATCTATGGTCTATTTAAATCACTCTATATCTTTTCAAAATATGCAGAATCAGTTAACATGTATATCTCCAAGTGCTCCCAAAATCCAGACAGACATTCTTAGATATTAGATATCACATTTTCTGAATGGCGTCCAGATTGTGTGCATCTGCAGTGAAATATCTTACTGTAGTAAGATGGAAAGTAGAATTTCATATTGTACGCACAACATTTGCTACTACTGACAGTAATTGATCAAAAATCTCCAAAATATTTAACAAAAAATACACACCACCATGCAATGTGCTCCCTCAACCACATATCACTCCTGTTGTCCAAAGCCTCCACTGTGTCATTGTCCCACAACAGATCCAATTTAAAGTCCTTCTCCTCACTCACAAAGCCCTCTATAACCAGGCCCCCTCCTACCTCACTGACCTGCTCCACTGCCGCACTCTGTCACAAAGCCTCCGCTCTTCTGATGCCAACCTCCTGTCTCCACCACCCAGGACCAAGCATCCAAACCAAGCCTTCTCCATAGCTGCACCCCAACTCCATCCTCAAACACATCAGAGACTGTACAGATTCATCCACATTAAAATCACTAATCAAAACCAGTCTTTTCAGAATTGCTTCAATGTGTGATTGTATTTTTGGGGAGTTGTTTCGTGATCTTTTTAACCTATGTATTTTAACTTATGTGAAGTGTCTTGGAGTACATGGAAATATATATATATGTACTTATAAATAAAATATCATATTATTATTATCATAATGTTGTCATTATTGGAAGAACTTATAATCTCTGTACTAAATATCAAAATCAGTTCTCTGACATCCTTAATGTACTACATATCCAAACATTGCTTCATATAATCTATTCTGTCCCAAAAACAATCAGCATTGTTTGGTTACAAACCTTTTAGATACTTGTAAAGATAGTTAAAGTAGTGCTTCAAAACCACCTTAGCTGTGTTAAAGTTCAAAAACCTTTGCAGACTACTTATGACAAAATACTGTCCTTCAGTTTGTTCAGGATCATAAAAACTGTCTGAGGTTTGTGGATCAGTGTCTGAAGAATGTCTGTTTAAAGTTCAGAGGTTGAAGTTAATGAACGTCTCTTCTTTTGTGGACTACAGATGAAACTGCATTGATCTATGTCTGATCACATATTTTATGTTTTCAATATGTGAGTTTGTAATTTTATTCCAGCTTTATGATCTTGATCTCTCTTTTGTGTCAGTTTTTCCAGATGGAGGTCAGGGTGACGTTTGCAGGAGAACAGGGGAACCAGGCTTCATCTTAAAAAACCTACATACATTTTATTGATCCACCTGTTGGTTCTGTGGAAATTAATATTTGTTGAGTGGACAATGTTAGATAGGAGTGACTTTAAATTCTGCAAAATATGAGGGCAGATATGTTGTGCTGTGAACATGTCTGGGTTGCTTCAGTGAACTGTATCAGTCTCTGCAGTAGCTTCCAGCTGCAGCAGTCAGTTCAATTTCTGTTCAGTCTGACTGAGGGAGGTTTTTGTACGACGCTTTTTCACTGTGTGAACAACCACTGACTGTTGATTTCATGTTCACTCTGACAGTAGTAAACTGCTGTATCTTCAGCCTGGACTCCACTGATGGTCAGAGTGAAGTCAGTGTTTGATCCACTGCCTGTAAAACGTCCTGGAATCCCTGATGCTCGCTCATCAGCCCTGGAAATAAGTAGTTTTGGAGCTTCTGCACCTCTCTGTTGGTACCAGTGCAAATAGTGTTTGCCGCTTGAAGACCCAACATACACTTTTGGATTGACCATACAGCTGATGGTGATGGAGCCTCCCACAGCAGAGCTCACTGCTCCAGGCTGAGTCACTGTGACCTGGCCTCTGGACTCTGAGGATACAGAGACAAAAACATAAAGCAGCGTCATGGTTCTGTGGGCTTCATTTCAGAGGGACGGATGTTCATAGAGGAGAGGGAGTTTGATTCTCTGGACTTTACCTGTGAAGCAGCAGCAGAGGAGAGTCCAGATGAGGACGGAGATCAAAGTCATGTTTTTGATGAGGAGGATTTCTGTGTCTTCTGTTGTCATGAAGGACAGCTGTCAGTCATCCAGTGTTCAACTCTCAGGACTATAAACTCTCCCAGAGCACTGGAGCATGGTGCTGCTGATGCAAAGTGGCTCTCTATGGAAATGCTCTGACTGACTCCAACAGGGACTTGGATTACTCTGATGATGCTGTTTCTCAATGGATCAATCACTTTATCAGAGTATTGATTAACAATGTATCAGTGATCATTTTAATGTGGAATGGGCTTGATGACTGCAGAATGATTTTCTTTCAGAACGTCTTCTGTCTGCTTTAATTTAATGCTAGAGAGATCAATGTTACTTTCAGACATATGGAACAATAAATATGTAAAAATGTGATTCATTCTGAACAATTGTGGCACTGTTTGATAAATAGAACATGAAATAGTTCATTCTTTTAAAAACAGGAACTGTTGATGTTGACTTTGTTGTGTTCAAAGTCAGAGAGCCGTGTCTCTCTACAGTGAGAGGTTTTTGTACGACGACTCAATCAGTTTGTATCACTGTGGTACACGTTCGGTGGAGGAACCAGACTGGAGTTTGGAAGTAAGTTCAAGTTTTGATGTATTTTATAAATTCATGAGCAACATTTTCTTTTCTGCAGGTACACTTTTGTCCAGCCATTGAAATATCAAATGTTTGATTCTATTTTTCTCCAGTAGTTTTGTACAAAGAAGGTAAACTGTTACCAATTAAATTGTTAAATTATCAATGTCATTACTACAATTCCTTGGTGAAGAGCAGAAGTCATTTATTTCAGTTTTTAGATTAAAGTGAAAAGTTGAGTACTTGCAGTTTAAGCTTTGTCAGACAAAGTCAGAGAGCCGTGTCTCTCTACAGTGAGAGGTTTTTGTACGACGACTCAATCAGTTTGTATCACTGTGGTTGACTTTTGGTGGAGGAACCAGACTGGAGGTTGGAAGTAAGTTTCTGCTCAAATATTAAATATCATATCATCAGTTAATGTTTTAATTTCTGTGTCTGAACATTTGTAGTAGATATAAATTTCCACTGGGCTGATCTAAATCACTTTAAAGACTCAATTTTATTGTTGGTTTGACCTTAAAGTTGAACTCAAAGCAGCTTTACTGAACTTTTCTTTAAATGTTCCAGTTAATTAGTGAAATGTGAACAGCTTGAACTGCAGGAAATGTTAAAGAACAACACTCATAATTTTCAAATGTTTTTAAAATTCTGTCATTTATTCTGCATTTTTAACTGCAGTTAAAATAACATTTAATAGTGTGAATGATAAATGTTAGGAATGATTCCAAATGTCTGATCTTCTAAAATGGCACAAATTGTGTTTTAACCTCAGTTAGAAATAACGCTGACACTTTTCTGAAGCTATTTGTGTTTTTCAGTCCGTCTGTTTAACAATTCAACTGTGGTTGTCAATTAGGTTTAGCTGATAATTAATATTCAAAGTCTATTTTTATGGGTTTTTTCAAATAGTCTAAAATAAAATCCCACCAAAGACATGTTTTTAATGTTGATATTTATAATGTGCTTCTGTTATTTGCAGTGTAGTTTGATATATTTCAGGTCATATGAGGACTGTGTCTGTGCTGATGTGCATGAGAGGTTTCTTAAAGGGAAGTGAAACAATGTGTGAGTGAGTGACTGCTGGAGCAGAAAAACCATCTGACAGAAACTCCTTAAAGGAGAAAATCAACTCTCACACAGTAAAGGTGTCCAAGTGTCTGCTGGTTGATTGACAGCTGTGTGGTCCCTGTCCTCTAATCTGATTGGTGTCTCCTAGGTGATGTCCGTCCCACCCTGACGGTGCTGCCCCCCTCCAGTGAGGAGCTGCAGCAGGGGAAGGCCACGCTCATGTGTCTGGCCAACAAGGGCTTCCCCTCAGACTGGAGTCTGTCCTGGAAGGTGGACGGCAGCAGCAGCAGCAGCAGCAGCAGCAGCTGGGAGCAGAGCAGGAGCCCCGGGGTGCTGAAGGACGGCCACTACAGCTGGAGCAGCACCCTGAGGCTCTCTGCAGACCAGTGGAGGAAGGTGGGCTCTGTGACCTGTGAGGCCACCCAGGGCTCCCAGACTCCGCTCTCAGAGACACTGAGGAGAGACCAGTGTTCCCAGTCCTGACCTGACTCACTGGGACTCTGCTACTGGTTTTACTCTGCTACTGCTCTCACTGTGCACTCTGTAACTATCTCTCTCTTTCATTTGACATGTTTCAGTCAGAATATTTACTAGCTTGTTGCAGTGTTTCAATATTATTTCACTGTTTCCAGATAATAAAGACGTGTTCATCAAATCAGTTGTTTTCATCTTTATTATTATCAAAGTGTCTTAATGATTTTCTCTTCATGGTGTCAGTGACTGCATTAAATCCAGAGAAAAACTTAGCTGATACAAATAATAAATATTATACTTAAATCTCTAAAACTACAAAAGTATATAAAAATCAGTAAGTTCAACCCTGGGAATATTTCCATACTGCTTTTGCTGAACAGCTCAACTGTACAGACAAATTAGTTAAAGTTTTAAGTTTTAAAGTTGCTCTGTGTGTAATAATTGGTCCTCCCTGTTTAAATACATGAGGAGGTCAAAATATTAGAAACACCTGAATATAATGTAATCCAGTGCAACAACATCACTGACCTCAATGCAAGAACATATAATTATCACCTGTATGACAGTGTGAACAAGAAGTGAACATATATTATTCATTACGTATGAATTTCAGGTGCAATGAGTGTATGTCTGCTTCATCAATAATACAAAATGTCTTGGGTTAAAGAGGCACATTACTATTTAAATGATTTGTTCAAATTAAAGATCATTTTAGTCATCCTTCAGTTTAATTAATCTGCATTTTTAGTGTTAATTTGACTGTTTTGTTAAGTACGGCCTAGACTCTAAACTTCTCTATATAAAGTCTGTCCTGAGATAAATTCTGTTATAATTTATCACTATACAAATCAAATTATTCTATACTACCACAAAATTTTCAGTGAAACAAGAATTAACCTTCAGAAATTATGAGATGAAAAATTTCTTTCACACCAAAACATTTTGTGTTTTTGTGTCATAATTCCTTCTAAAACTATTTATTTTCTGAATGAAGCTTTGCTCTAAAACTGTTATAGTAAACTGTAGATGTGTGATAAAACATTGTTTCAGTGATAATAAAATGATGTACTGAATTGTATGATAAATATTTTCACAATTAAAATCATACTGTCTTATACAATCATGAGTTTTCATTGTAGAGAAACCTCTGTTGTTTTAGTGTCAGTGCAGCTGTTGAGTCAGATCAGTTCCTCTCCAGCTGAGGGAGGTTTTTGTACGACGTTGTATCACTGTGTGAACGGGAAGCTGGCACCCTGCTGACAGTAGTAAACTCCTGAATCTTCAGCCTGAACTCCACTGATGGTCAGAGTGTAGTCAGAACCAGATCCACTTCCACTGAAACGACTTGAAACTCCAGACTGACGGTTTGTAGCATAATAAATCAGGAGTTTAGGAGCTTCTCCAGGTTTCTGAAGGTACCAGCTGAGGTAGCCACTAACACTTGAACTGGCTGTACATCTGATAGAGACAGTCTGTCCTGGAACAACAGACTGAGATCCAGGAGACTGAGTCAGGGTGATTTGTCCTGATGAACCTGAAAACATGAAACAGAGGAGAAGGGTTATTGAGACAAATCCAGCTTGGAGAAAGATGATCAACATCCAAACAGAAGAGTATCATTTCTTTAACATGGAGAATAGATGGAAGAAGGTAAATGCTGCTTGTTTCACTGTTTCTCCATCATAGCAGAACATCATTGTGGTGAACCTGGTTGCATCCTGAAGCAAAGTTTTCAGAAGAGAGTCTCACCCTGAACAAGGAGCCCCAGGGTGGCCAGCAGTAGAGTCAGTGACATCATCATTGTGCTGCCGGCGTGTCAGTGGCTCTGAAAGGCCTGGACAGCCACTGATCAACACTGGCCTCTTAAAGGCTGGGAGCAGAGAGGAAGGACACATATGCAAACACACAGAGTCAGTGAACTGTAGCTGTCCTCAACATATCATGCTGTTTCCTCCTCACTGCTGGGAGTACTGACTGTTTAAATCATCCTCATGCTGATGAAGTCAACTATCATCATGACACTTTGTTTTCTTTTTATTTACTTAACTGTATAAAAGTCATAATGACAAAAATCTGAGAGATCGGGCCAAAACAGCACAGTGAAAACAGAATTAGGTCAATAAAGAAAATAATGTGTCACCAACAATCACACAGAATCACAGTCAAACTGCAAACGCAGATTCTATGCTGTAATCTTTACAGATCTGCAATAATAAATCTTTGGAACAAGGTAGGAACATTTTAGTAATAAATCATCCAATCATCTCTTATTACTGAACAGTCTTAATAGTAAGGACTGTAATATTGTAATTCTTTTAGGTGTATCTAAAGAAAATAAATAAATTCTTTGAATAAAACCACATATAAAAAGCACAGTATCATTAGCATAAGGAGAATATCATAAATCTCTATTTTTATCCTTTGAACTATTTCCACAAAGACAAATAAAAGAGTTGACAAAAGGACAGAATTAACTGATTAAATGGATTTACATACTTCATTAATCTCTTTTTTGTTAGAATACAAAACACAAAATTACTAAAATATGTTGTCAACATTTGTAGCGATTTGTAATTTATTTCAACAATGAGTATGTTTTGACTTTAAATCCTTAATGCCACTTTTGGGCTCATTTAACTTTATTTTTTACCTCCTGGAACTCTCCAATCAGTTTATGAATGTCAGCAGCAAAATGTGAGCCTGTGTTTGGAGATAAAACAAGGCCAGACTGTTCATAAGACCATTCTCTTGTACTTCATTACTTACATTTTCTTTTCCACCATCCAAACCTGTTTGTGGCATTTTGATCATTTCACAGTTTTAATGAGCTAACTGTACTGACAGTGGAAGTACTAGAACTGTGGGTACATCTTATTTTTATGTTTCCAGCTGGTGATACGGATATGAAAATAGTAATAACTAATTATCATAGTGGTAAAACACTTTGTCCTGTCTTTAATATGCAACTGGAGATGCTCACATAAGGTTGAAATATGTACTGACACAAAGCTACAACCCTCCATTTTCAATGCTGCAGCATCTCTTTCTGTGTGTTGGTGGCACTGGTTGAACTGTGTGTCTGTCGTATCAGTATTTAGTATTCATTGTTCAAAATGTCATTCAATAAAGACGAGTGAAGGCAAGAGCTGCGTTTCTTGTTTCTTAATCCTTCTCTCGTTACTATTCACCTTGTTTAAAGTTACTGTGTGTGTGTGTGTGTGTGTGTGTGTGTGTGTGTGTGTATGTCCTCAGTGAACTGTATCAGTCTCTGCAGTAGCTTCCAGCTGCAGCAGTCAGTTCAGTTTCTGTTCAGTCTGACTGAGGGAGGTTTTTGTACGACGCTTTTTCACTGTGTGAACACATACTGACTGTTGACAGTGTTAGCACCCTGACAGTAGTAAACTGCTGCGTCTTCAGCCTGGACTCCACTGATGGTCAGAGTGAAGTCTGTCCCTGATCCACTGCCTGAAAAACGAGTTGGAATCCCTGATGCTCTCTCATTGGTGTAGTAAATTAGCAGTTTAGGAGTTTCTCCAGCTTTCTGTTGGTACCAGGATAAACAGGTGTCACTACCCCAGCTCCCACAATCTTCATCAACCCTCTGACTGCTCCTACAGCTGATGGAGACGGAGCCTCCCACAGCAGAGCTCACTGCTCCAGGCTGAGTCACTGTGACCTGGCCTCTGGACTCTGAGGATACAGAGACAAAAACATAAAGCAGCGTCATGGTTCTGTGGGCTTCATTTCAGAGGGACGGATGTTCATAGAGGAGAGGAGTTTGATTCTCTGGACTTTACCTGTGAAGCAGCAGCAGAGGAGAGTCCAGATGAGGACGGAGATCAAAGTCATGTTTTTGATGAGGAGGATTTCTGTGTCTTCTGTTGTCATGAAGGACAGCTGTCAGTCATCCAGTGTTCAACTCTCAGGACTATAAACTCTCCCAGAGCACTGGAGCATGGTGCTGCTGATGCAAAGTGGCTCTCTATGGAAATGCTCTGACTGACTCCAACAGGGACTTGGATTACTCTGATGATGCTGTTTCTCAATGGATCAATCACTTTATCAGAGTATTGATTAACAGTGTATCAGTGATCATTTTAATGTGGAATGGGCTTGATGACTGCACAATGATTTTCTTTCAGAACGTCTTCTGTCTGCTTTAATTTAATGCTAGAGAGATCAATGTTACTTTCAGACATATGGAACAATAAATATGTAAAAATGGGATTCATTCTGAACAATTGTGGCACTGTTTGATAAATAGAACATGAAATAGTTCATTCTTTTAAAAACAGGAACTGTTGATGTGGACTTTGTTGTGTTCAAAGTCAGAGAGCCGTGTCTCTCTACAGTGAGAGGTTTTTGTACGATGACTCAATCAGTTTGTATCACTGTGGTGGACTTTTGGTGGAGGAACCAGACTGGAGGTTAACTGTAAGTACTGTTCACTTCTACAAGAACTCTAAATTAATTTAAAATCTATTTTTATTGAATGAACAAAACTTTTCAAAAATAATTTAGCTCGTAGTAAAATTAAAATAATATTAAAGTGACCGTAACAGGCTTCATTGTAATACAGAACAAATTCTGTCTGATGAAAGAACTTTTGACTTGGCCTTAAAATGTTAAACATGATGCTTATTTAAAGTGTTAAAGTTTTTATTGTTCTTAAAATATACAGCCATTTATTGAAGACAACATTCTGATCAATGATTTCTCCTCTGACAAAGTTCTGTTTTCAGACTTTTTATTTCTTCACCATTTTAATGAAATAATTAATTTTCTGTGGAAGAAATGTTTCCAACATTTATTTAGTGAGTGTTTTATCTGGAAACATTGTTTTACTCAATCTTCCTCCCAGACTGATGAATGTAATGATATGTAACATCCTCACTATAACCAATGAATATCATAATGTCACTACAGCTTCTTCAACCACATGCTGTATTAGTGAAATTCATATTATGAGTTGGAAAAAGGATTTCAGCATTTAAACAGTTTGTCAGCAGTGAAGTCTGTCTGTTGTCATGGTTCAGTAGTGATGCTGCGTAAATGAAGACAGCAAACACACACTGTCTCTTATGAGTTTTGGATTGAGCTGAAAAATAGAAGAATAATGTCTTTTAAACTTTTAATAACATGTAATGTTTGTTTAGGTTTGTTAATTTAACCAAAGAAAGAGTTTCTGCTCTCAACTGTTTAGTAGTTTTAACTTTTTTAGTTGCAGTAAGAGTGCCAGTTTTAATGTTTTATCTTTAGTACTGAAACCTGTCTGTTGCCATGGTTCAGCAGTGATGCCTGTCTGTTGCCATGGTTACTGGATTCAGAGAGGGAAGTGAAACACTGAAGACCAGTTTCATCCAATCTGAGGAAGACCAACAGAAGCAGCAGCCTCCTCTGCTGCAACCAACAGGGTGGAGTTTATTTTCTCTCTGTATGAACTTTCTTCATATTGTCTCTCTGTCTCCTCCTCCAGTGGGTCGAGTCGTCCCCACCCCTGACGGTGCTGCCCCCCTCCAGTGAGGAGCTGCAGCAGGGGAAGGCCACGCTCATGTGCCTGGCCAACAAGGGCTTCCCCCTCAGACTGGAGTCTGTCCTGGAAGGTGGACGGCAGCAGCAGCAGCAGCAGCAGCTGGGAGCAGAGCAGGAGCCCCGGGTGCTGAAGGACGGCCACTACAGCTGGAGCAGCACCCTGAGGCTCTCTGCAGACCAGTGGAGGAAGGTGGGCTCTGTGACCTGTGAGGCCACCCAGGGCTCCCAGACTCCGCTCTCAGAGACACTGAGGAGAGACCAGTGTTCCCAGTCCTGACCTGACTCACTGGGACTCTGCTACTGGTTTTACTCTGCTACTGCTCTCACTGTGCACTCTGTAACTATCTCTCTCTTTCATTTGACATGTTTCAGTCAGAATATTTACTAGCTTGTTGCAGTGTTTCAATATTATTTCACTGTTTCCAGATAATAAAGACGTGTTCATCAAATCAGTTGTTTTCATCTTTATTATTATCAAAGTGTCTTAATGATTTTCTCTTCATGGTGTCAGTGACTGGATTAAATCCAGAGAAAAACTGAGGTGACGCAAATAATATGCATTATCCTTAAAATTAAACCACAAAAGTATAAAAAATATTCTGAATCCGAAATAAATAGGGGTCATCAGCACAGAAATATTTAAAATAAGTTGATGCAAACAATATGCATTATCCTTTAAATAAAAGTACAGAATGATCATCTTAAATAAATAACAGCATATCATCAGCATAGAGTTTGACGTGTAAGTTTACTGATTTTGCTGAAGAGCTCAACTGCACAGACAAACGAGTTAAAGTTAAAAAGGGAACAAATTAAAGTGTTACTGAATTACATACAGTATAAATACTTTTGACACATTTATTTGTTAGAATACATGTTGGCTCTTTTAAAATAAAGACATTAGCACAGTAATCTAATCATAAAGTTGCTCTCTGTTTAATTGTTTGTCCTCCATATTTACATACATGAGGGACTTTTACATACAATTAAAAAGGTGCTATATAAGTACAGTCCATTTACCATTTATAATTATCACCTCTATGACAGCATCAACAACAAGTGAAAATTATAGGCATCATAAAAGTAGAATTATTTAAAATTGTTACTTTTATTTGTGAAGAACATCTGTCTTGGATTGCATTATAATACCCAAGTGACCACTGAGTATGTCTCTGCTACATCAGTGAGAAAGAAAATGTTAAAGAGGGCCATTACTGTTTCAAATATTTGTTTAACTTAAAAGTACATTTATTTAACCTTCAGTTTTAGTCCTCTGCATATTTAGTGTGTGTGTACGTTTTTTTTTTGTTTTCTCTCATTTTAATACGAGTACATCCTAACTCTATACTGCTCTATATGAAAAGTGTCCTGGGTGAATTTCTAGTTATGATTTGGGGCTATACAAATCAAACAAAATTGAAAAAGATAATAACACAGAATGCTCAGTGAAAGAAGAGTTAGCCGTAAAAATCTAATGAGATGAAATATTTCCTCCAGACCAAATGATTTAGTGTTTTTGTGTTAGAATTCCCTCTTAAATCATTTTGTTTATGATTCAAGCTTTGATCTAAAACTGTGTATCAGTAAACTGTAACAATGTGATCTATCACACACTGTTTCAGTGTAAATAAAATAATGTAGTAATATAAATAGTTTTACAGTTATTTTCACGAAATATCGTTTTTACACAATCATGAGTTTTCATTGTAGAGAAACCTCTGTTGTTTTAGTGTCAGTGCAGCTGTTGAGTCAGATCAGTTCCTCTCCAGCTGAGGGAGGTTTTTGTACGACGTTGTATCACTGTGTGAACGAGCTGTAACCCTGCTGACAGTAGTAAACTCCTGAATCTTCAGCCTGAACTCCACTGATGGTCAGAGTGAAGTCAGAACCAGATCCACTTCCACTGAAACGACTTGAAACTCCAGACTGACGAGTTGAAGCTCTATAAATCAGGAGTTTAGGAGCTTCTCCAGGTTTCTGAAGGTACCAGTGGAGGGAGCTACTAACACTTGAACTGGTTTTACATCTGATAGAGACAGTCTGTCCTGGAACAACAGACTGAGATCCAGGAGACTGAGTCAGGGTGATTTGTCCTGATGAACCTGAAAACATTAAACAGAGGAGAAGGGTTATTGAGACAAATCCAGCTTGGAGAAAGATGATCAACATCCAAACAGAAGAGTATCATTTCTTTAACATGGAGAATAGATGGAAGAAGGTAAATGCTGCTTGTTTCACTGTTTCTCCATCATAGCAGAACATCATTGTGGTGAACCTGGTTGCATCCTGAAGCAAAGTTTTCAGAAGAGAGTCTCACCCTGAACAAGGAGCCCCAGGGTGGCCAGCAGTAGAGTCAGTGACATCATCATTGTGCTGCCGGCGTGTCAGTGGCTCTGAAAGGCCTGGACAGCCACTGATCAACACTGGCCTCTTAAAGGCTGGGAGCAGAGAGGAAGGACACATATGCAAACACACAGAGTCAGTGAACTGTAGCTGTCCTCAACATATCATGCTGTTTCCTCCTCACTGCTGGGAGTACTGACTGTTTAAATCATCCTCATGCTGATTCACAGAAACTCACAATGCTGTTTCTTAATGTCAAACTAAGCATTTTTAGTTTACAGAAGTATAGAAAAGTCATATTATGAGAAAATCTGTTATACAAGAGAGGTTCTGCCAGGAAGGAACACATGAAAACAACTGTCACACTTTACACAAAAAAAATGGAGAAAGTGATGGTGCACATACAGGTAATTCAAATTGACAATTAATATTCAATTTGATCATAAGAAATTCAATCGAGGACAGGCTCAGGGTAGTGGGCAACAGACACATTTTATTAGTACGAGAAATTCCTTGAGATGAACCATGTGGTTTTTCAAGGGGGTCTTCAACACAAAATAGAGTAAAGTACAGTACATAAAGCATTGCCTCATTAGCTATTCCTTAGTAAAAGTTTTATGCTACATGGTTGGTTTGGATCGTGGATGCACATATCAGATCAACAACCTTCCTCAGCTTGAGACACAACTGCAAACATCAGGTTACGAGTGGAGTTTGGAGGCACCAGTTGTGAGCAGCATGCCCTCTTCCATTTCTGTCAGGTCACCAACTGCAGCAGAAAATACTTTTTTCTTTACCAAACAATATGAAGTCCTCCTCCCTGTAAAACAAGACTAGCTGCACTGGATGTGTTGTAATCTCTGCTAGTGTCATATAAACAGCTAAAAGCTTCTTTCTGACAGATCCTAGAGGGTTAGTAACCATAATTTAATCTTGATACCATACTGTGGATATTGAACACATTATTGTTTGCAATGATTTTACCATCTCCAAGGCCTTCCAGCACATCAGGAATGATTGGTGTGTCACATATCGTTGACATATTGCTCTGGAACTGAGGTCTGATTGAGTAATGCCTTCTTTGTGTCTTTAATGGACAGATACTGGAAAAATCTTTTTCATTTATGAAGAGAATATGGGGACTGACAGACCCATACACTCCTTATCTTAGTAATAAATAATAATATAAGCAAAAACTTGTTCTTACAGCAGCAGAATATGTTGCAGTCAAACCTGTCTGGTCCTTTATATGCATGAAGAGCAGAGCAAAGAGGCAAGAAGACATAACGTAGACAACAAAATACCAGAGTGTGTGGTATGAAACAGTTAGACTGTGAACATGAAACAGGCTCTAACTATAAAAGACACAATACCAAACTACTGTACATATAGGGGCTCTTATATATGTCTGTTAAAGTGTCCTCATACATCAGGTATTACTTCATAATGCACAGGACTGTTGAACTGTGTGTTGTGTAAAACACTCCTCATAAATAAGGTGTGTGTTCCTCTTAATGCACAATGCTTTTTAGTGCCATTATTGTGTGTGGTATAGCTACTGTCCTCACAAATTTAATGAGTTAGTGTGTGTGTGTGTGTGTGTGTGTGTGTGTGTGTGTGTGTGTGTGTGTGTGTGTGTGTGTGTGCATCAGTGAACTGTATCAGTCTCTGCAGTAGCTTCCAGCTGCAGCAGTCAGTTCAGTTTCTGTTCAGTCTGACTGAGGGAGGTTTTTGTACGACGCTTTTTCACTGTGTGAACACACGCTGACTGTTGATTTCATGATAACTCTGACAGTAGTAAACTGCTGTATCTTCAGCCTGGACTCCACTGATGGTCAGAGTGAAGTCAGTCCTTGATCCACTGCCTGAAAAACGACTAGCAATCCCTGATGCTCTTCGATTTGCCCAGTAAATCAACAATTTAGGAGTTTCTCTTTCTTTTGTTGGTACCAGGCTAATATGTAGTCAGAACCATCATAGTGCACAGCAGGACTGCTCCTACAGCTGATGGTGACGGAGCCTCCCACAGCAGAGCTCACTGCTCCAGGCTGAGTCACTGTGACCTGGCCTCTGGACTCTGAGGATACAGAGACAAAAACATAAAGCAGCGTCATGGTTCTGTGGGCTTCATTTCAGAGGGACGGATGTTCATAGAGGAGAGGAGTTTGATTCTCTGGACTTTACCTGTGAAGCAGCAGCAGAGGAGAGTCCAGATGAGGACGGAGATCAAAGTCATGTTTTTGATGAGGAGGATTTCTGTGTCTTCTGTTGTCATGAAGGACAGCTGTCAGTCATCCAGTGTTCAACTCTCAGGACTATAAACTCTCCCAGAGCACTGGAGCATGGTGCTGCTGATGCAAAGTGGCTCTCTATGGAAATGCTCTGACTGACTCCAACAGGGACTTGGATTACTCTGATGATGCTGTTTCTCAATGGATCAATCACTTTATCAGAGTATTGATTAACAGTGTATCAGTGATCATTTTAATGTGGAATGGGCTTGATGACTGCACAATGATTTTCTTTCAGAACGTCTTCTGTCTGCTTTAATTTAATGCTAGAGAGATCAATGTTACTTTCAGACATATGGAACAATAAATATGTAAAAATGGGATTCATTCTGAACAATTGTGGCACTGTTTGATAAATAGAACATGAAATAGTTCATTCTTTTAAAAACAGGAACTGTTGATGTTGACTTTGTTGTGTTCAAAGTCAGAGAGCCGTGTCTCTCTACAGTGAGAGGTTTTTGTACGACGACTCAATCAGTTTGTATCACTGTGGTTGACTTTTGGTGGAGGAACCAGACTGGAGGTTGGAAGTAAGTTTCTGCTCAAATATTAAATATGGTATCATCAGTTAATGTTTTAATTTCTGTGTCTGAACATTTGTAGTAGATATAAATTTCCACTGGGCTGATCTAAATCACTTTAAAGACTCAATTTTATTGTTGGTTTAACCTTAAAGTTGAACTCAAAGCAGCATTACTGAACTTTTCTTTAAATGTTCCAGTTAATTAGTGAAATGTGAACAGCTTGAACTGCAGGAAAGATTAAAGAACAACACTCGTACTGTACAAATGTTTTTAAAATTCAGTCATTTATTCTGCATTTTTAACTGCAGTTAAAATAACATTTAATAGTGTGAATGATAAATGTTAGGAATGATTCCAAATCTCTGATCTTCTAAAATGGCACAAATTGTGTTTTAACCTCAGTTAGAAATAACGCTGACACTTTTCTGAAGCTTTTTGTGTTTTTCAGTCCGTCTGTTTAACAATTCAACTGTGGTTAATTAGCTTTAGCTGATGATTGATATTCAAAGTCTATTTTTATGTTTTTTTCAAATAGTCTAAAATAAAATCCCACCAAAGACATGTTTTAATGTTGATATTTATAATGTGCTTCTGTTATTTGCAGTGTAGTTTGATATATTTCAGGTCATATGAGGACTGTGTCTGTGCTGATGTGCATGAGAGGTTTCTTAAAGGGAAGTGAAACAATGTGTGAGTGAGTGACTGCTGGAGCAGAAAAACCATCTGACAGAAACTCCTTAAAGGAGAAAATCAACTCTCACACAGTAAAGGTGTCCAAGTGGCTGCTGGTTGATTGACAGCTGTGTGGTCCCTGTCCTCTAAGCTGATTGGTGTCTCCTAGGTGATGTCCGTCCCACCCTGACGGTGCTGCCCCCCTCCAGTGAGGAGCTGCAGCAGGGGAAGGCCACGCTCATGTGCCTGGCCAACAAGGGCTTCCCCTCAGACTGGAGTCTGTCCTGGAAGGTGGACGGCAGCAGCAGCAGCAGCAGCAGCTGGGAGCAGAGCAGGAGCCCCGGGGTGCTGAAGGACGGCCACTACAGCTGGAGCAGCACCCTGAGGCTCTCTGCAGACCAGTGGAGGAAGGTGGGCTCTGTGACCTGTGAGGCCACCCAGGGCTCCCAGACTCCGCTCTCAGAGACACTGAGGAGAGACCAGTGTTCCCAGTCCTGACCTGACTCACTGGGACTCTGCTACTGGTTTTACTCTGCTACTGCTCTCACTGTGCACTCTGTAACTATCTCTCTCTTTCATTTGACATGTTTCAGTCAGAATATTTACTAGCTTGTTGCAGTGTTTCAATATTATTTCACTGTTTCCAGATAATAAAGACGTGTTCATCAAATCACTTGTTTTCATCTTTATTATTATCAAAGTGTCTTAATGATTTTCTCTTCATGGTGTCAGTGACTGGATTGAATCCAGAGAAAAACTGAGCTGAGAAAAATGTTTTAACTTCTGTAATGTACAGCCATATATACTGTATATCAAAAGAGTTTATACACTCCGACAAAACTCCTCATTATTGTTTGATTAGTACAAACCAGTGATGGTCGTAGTATAAGTCCATAATATGTTGTCATAATCAATATGAATACCTTCATCACTGTACAACTGTTTCTGATATAATCATTACAGATTTGTCTTCAATAATAAACCTTTGGAACAATAAATAAATCATCCTATCATCTCTTATTACTGAATAGTCTATATAGTAATGACTGTAATATTGTAATTGCTTTTGGTGTATCTAAAGAACACATTTTTTTTTTAATAAAACCAAATAAATTAAAAAACAAACTCTTCATCTGATATAAAAAGCACAATATCGCCACCATAAGGAGAAATATTATAAATGTAATCTGTTGTTCTACCCCTTGAACTATTTACATACAGCTTCTGCTGAAGAACCACAAAGACAAATAAAAAAGTTGATAAAAAGAAGAATTAATTGATTCAATTGATTTACATACTTCATTAATCCTTTTTTCTTTTAGTTATAAAATATATTTGCTTTCTAGAATACAAAACACACAAAATTACTTAAATATGTTGTCAACATTTGTAGTGATTTGTAATTTATTTCAACAATGAGTATGTTTGACTATGAAAAATGTTAAGATATAAAATTAAAATATAATTATAGTTTTAGTGTTCATGTGTTATCATACTCCATGGATTTCACTTATCAATGAATTGAAATCATATTACGAGAGAGGTTACCACTGAAGTGCAGCAGACATGTTGTTTTCATGAAAGCATTAAAAATATGACTTTTTAAATACTGAATATTTAGTGTTAAAATATTCACAGCTAATCATTATCAACGATGGGGTGTTTTTTTGTGAAACCTCTGTTGTTTTAGTGTCAGTGCAGCTGTTGAGTCAGATCAGTTCCTCTCCAGCTGAGGGAGGTTTTTGTACGACGTTGTATCACTGTGTGAACAAGCTGTAACTCTGCTGACAGTAGTAAACTCCTGAATCTTCAGCCTGAACTCCACTGATGGTCAGAGTGAAGTCAGAACCAGATCCACTTCCACTGAAACGACTTGAAACTCCAGACTGACGAGTTGTGGCATACCTAATCAGGAGTTTAGGAGCTTCTCCAGGTTTGTGAAGGTACCAGTGGAGGGAGCTACTAACACTTGTACTGATTTTACATCTGATAGAGACAGTCTGTCCTGGAACAACAGACTGAGATCCAGGAGACTGAGTCAGGGTGATTTGTCCTGATGAACCTGAAAACATGAAACAGAGGAGAAGGGTTATTGAGACAAATCCAGCTTGGAGAAAGATGATCAACATCCAAACAGAAGAGTATCATTTCTTTAACATGGAGAATAGATGGAAGAAGGTAAATGCTGCTTGTTTCACTGTTTCTCCATCATAGCAGAACATCATTGTGGTGAACCTGGTTGCATCCTGAAGCAAAGTTTTCAGAAGAGAGTCTCACCCTGAACAAGGAGCCCCAGGGTGGCCAGCAGTAGAGTCAGTGACATCATCATTGTGCTGCCGGCGTGTCAGTGGCTCTGAAAGGCCTGGACAGCCACTGATCAACACTGGCCTCTTAAAGGCTGGGAGCAGAGAGGAAGGACACATATGCAAACACACAGAGTCAGTGAACTGTAGCTGTCCTCAACATATCATGCTGTTTCCTCCTCACTGCTGGGAGTACTGACTGTTTAAATCATCCTCATGCTGATTCACAGAAACTCACAATGCTGTATAATAATTTCATACTAATCTGAAACTAAATTAAACAGTTTATTTTTTATTTACTTAAATACAGAAAGAGAAAGACATGGTGCTCATACAGGTAACTGAAATTGAAAACTAAGCAACTAACTTCATTTTACAGAAAGTTACTTTCAACATTTTTACTCATCACTGACAACACTGGACCAAACATTATTAAGGTTATAAAAACGTAAAATAGATCAAATGTGGATTATAAGAAACTATCAATTATATAACTTAATAATTTAAGAGTTGTCATTAGAAGTGTAAATTACAGTATGCTGTACATCTACATCTACTCCAGAAATATGTTGCTCTCTCTGTCACAGTGTTAAACTGGTTCAGTCCCTAACTGTCAGGAAGAGATGATGTAGTCTCACTTGGTTAACAGTCATCTGCTACTATCAACTATAATCCCACAAGGCTTCATCCTAGGTCCTCTTTTGTTCAGACTTTACATGCTGCTATTGTTTGATACTGCAATCTATGGTCTATTTAAATCATTCTATATCTTTTTAAAATATGCAGAATCAGTTAACATGTATATCTCCAAGTGCTCCCAAAATCAGACAGACATTCTTAGATATTAGATATCACATTTTCTGAATGGCGTCCAGAATGTGTGCGTCCACAGTGAAATATCTTACTGTAGTAAGATGGAAAGTAGAATTTCATACTGTACGCACAACATTTACTACTACTGACAGTAATTGATTAAAAATCTCCAAAATATTTGACAAAACATTTACACCACCATACAATGTGCTCCCTCAACCACATATCACTCCTGTTGTCCAAAGCCTCCACTGTGTCATTGTCCCACAACAGATCCAATTTAAAGTCCTTCTCCTCACTCACAAAGCCCTCTATAACCAGGCCCCCTCCTACCTCACTGACCTGCTCCACTGCCGCACTCTGTCACAAAGCCTCCGCTCTTCTGATGCCAACCTCCTGTCTCCCCCACCCAGGACCAAGCATCCAAACCAAGCCTTCTCCATAGCTGCACCCCAACTCCATCCTCAAACACATCAGAGACTGTACAGATTCATCCACATTAAAATCACTGATCAAAACCAGTCTTTTCAGAATTGCTTCAATGTGTGATTGTATTTTTGGGGAGTTGTTTCGTGATCTTTTTAACCTATGTATTTTAACTTATGTGAAGTGTCTTGGAGTACATGGAAACATATATATGTACTTATAAATAAAATATCATTATTATTATCATAATGTTGTCATTATTGTAAGAACTTATAATCTCTGTACTAAATATCAAAAATCAGTTCTCTGACAACCTTAATGTACTACATATCCAAACGTTGCTTCATATAATTTATTCTGTCCCAAAAACAATCAGCATTGTTTGGTTACAAACCTTTTAGATACTTGTAAAGATAGTTAAAGTAGTGCTTCAAAACCACCTTAGCTGTGTTAAAGTTCAAAAACCTTTGCAGACTACTTATGACAAAATACTGTCCTTCAGTTTGTTCAGGATCAGAAAAACTGTCTGAGGTTTGTGGATCAGTGTCTGAAGAATGTCTGTTTAAAGTTCAGAGGTTGAAATTAATGAACGTCTCTTCTTTTGTGGACTACAGATGCAACTGCATTGATCTATGTCTGATCACATATTTTATGTTTTCAATATGTGAGTTTGTAATTTTATTCCAGCTTTATGATCTTGATCTCTCTCTTGGGTCAGTTTTTCCAGATGGAGGTCAGGGTGATGTTTGCTGGAGAACAGGGGAACCAGGCTTCATCTTAAAAAACCTACATACATTTTATTGATCCACCTGTTGGTTCTGTGGAAATTAATATTTGTTGAGTGGACAATGATAGACATGAGTGATTTTAAATTCTGCAAAATATGAGGGCAGATATGTTGTGCTGTGAACATGTCTGGGTTGCTTCAGTGAACTGTATCAGTCTCTGCAGTAGCTTCCAGCTACACCAATGAGAGTTTCTGTTCAGTCTGACTGAGGGAGGTTTGTGTACGACGCTTTTTCACTGTGTGAACACATACTGACTGTTGATATAATGAAAACTCTGACAGTAGTAAACTGCTGTATCTTCAGCCTGGACTCCACTGATGGTCAGAGTGAAGTCTGTCCCTGATCCACTGCCTGAAAAACGTCCTGGAATCCCTGACATTCTCTCATTGGTGTAGCGAATTAGCAGTTTAGGAGTTTCTCCATGTTTCTGTTGGTACCAGGCTAAACAGTATGCACTGCTACAACTCCAAACCTCCTGACTGCTCCTACATGTGATGGAGACGGAGCCTCCCACAGCAGAGCTCACTGCTCCAGGCTGAGTCACTGTGACCTGGCCTCTGGACTCTGAGGATACAGAGACAAAAACATAAAGCAGCGTCATGGTTCTGTGGGCTTCATTTCAGAGGGACGGATGTTCATAGAGAAGAGGAGTTTGATTCTCTGGACTTTACCTGTGAAGCAGCAGCAGAGGAGAGTCCAGATGAGGACGGAGATCAAAGTCATGTTTTTGATGAGGAGGATTTCTGTGTCTTCTGTTGTCATGAAGGACAGCTGTCAGTCATCCAGTGTTCAACTCTCAGGACTATAAACTCTCCCAGAGCACTGGAGCATGGTGCTGCTGATGCAAAGTGGCTCTCTATGGAAATGCTCTGACTGACTCCAACAGGGACTTGGATTACTCTGATGATGCTGTTTCTCAATGGATCAATCACTTTATCAGAGTATTGATTAACAATGTATCAGTGATCATTTTAATGTGGAATGGGCTTGATGACTGCAGAATGATTTTCTGTCAGAACGTCTTCTGTCTGCTTTAATTTAATGCTAGAGAGATCAATGTTACTTTCAGACATATGGAACAATAAATATGTAAAAATGTGATTCATTCTGAACAATTGTGGCACTGTTTGATAAATAGAACATGAAATAGTTCATTCTTTTAAAAACAGGAACTGTTGATGTTGACTTTGTTGTGTTCAAAGTCAGAGAGCCGTGTCTCTCTACAGTGAGAGGTTTTTGTACGACGACTCAATCAGTTTGTATCACTGTGGTACACGTTCGGTGGAGGAACCAGACTGGAGGTTAACTGTAAGTACTGCTCACTTCTACAAGAACTCAAAATTAATTTAAAATCTATTTTTATTGAATGAAAACTTTTCAGAAATAATTTAGCTAGTAGTAAAATTAAAATAATATTAAAGCGACCATTAAAGTCTTCATTGTAATACAGAACAAATTCAGTCCGATGAAAGAACTTTTGACTTGGCCTTAAAATGTTAAATATGACTTTTATTTAAAACGTCAAAGTTTTTATTGTTCTTAAGATATACAGCCACTTATTGAAGACAACATTCTGTTCAATGATTTCTCCTCTGACAAAGTTCTGTTTTCAGACTTATTCTATTTAAATATTATTGACTATTTAAATGAAATAATTTTGTGTGGAAGAAATGTTTCCAACATTTATTTAGTGAGTGTATTATCTGGAAACATTGTTTTACTCTATCTTCCTCCCAGATTGATGAATGTAATGATATGTGACATCCTCACTATAACCAATGAATATCATAATTTGGGCGGCAGTAGCACAGTGTATAGGGACTTGGCTTGGGAACCAGAGGGTTGCCGGTTCAAATCCCACAGACCACAAAATATGGAGTGTGAGGTGCCAGTTTCATCTCCTGTGCACTGCTGAGGTGCCCTTGAGCAACACCCCAAAACTTGCTCATGGGGTGTGATTAACATTGCAGCCCCATCACTCTCTCTCCCTCTTTGCATGTCCACAAGTGCATGAAGTGTGCATTTCAGCCTGTGTGTGTGTGTGTGTGTGTGTGTGTAAAAAAAAGTGAAAAGAACAATTTCCCCTAGGGCATCAATAAAGTATATCTTCTTCCTCATAATCTCACTACAGGTTCTTCAACCACATGCTGTGTTAGTAAAATTCATATTATGAGTTGGAAAAAGGATTTCAGCAGTGAAGTCTGTTCAATTCAATTCAATTTTATTTGTATAGCGCCAATTCATAACAGAAGTTATCTCAGGACACTTTTCAAATAGAGCAGGTCTAGACCGAACTCTTTATAACATTATTTACAGAGACCCAACAGTACCACCATGAGCAAGACCTTGGAGACAAGGGCAAGGGAAACACTGCCTGTTAAAAGGCAGAAACCTAGGACAGAGAGAGAGAGAGAGAGAGAGAGAGAGAGAGAGAGAGACAGACAGACAGACAGACAGACAGACAGACAGACAGGTGCACAGCAACAACAGTATTGGCAATGGCAATCTAGCAGGACCATGGCAGGAGGCTCCACCAGGATTGATAAGAACCTGCGAGACGAGAAAGCACAAGAACTCCGGGGAAGAAGTGAAGTTAGTAACATGCATTAATGGAACATGAATGAGTGCAGAAAGAGAGAGGAAGAGAGGGAGCTCAGTGCACCATGGGAAATCCCCCGATAGTCTAGGCCTATAGCAGCATAACTAAGGGATGGTTCAGGACTCACCTGATCCAGCCCTAACTATAAGCTTTATCAAAGAGGAATGTCTTAAGCCTACTCTTGAATGTGGAGAGGGTGTCTGCCTCCAGAACCACAACTGGAAGCTGGTTCCACAGGAGAGGAGCTTGGTAACTGAAGGCTCTGGCTCCTGTTCTACTTTTAGAGACTATAGGAACCACAAGTAGCCCAGCATTCAGAGAACGTAGTGTTCTAGAGGGGTAATAGGGTACTATGAGCTCTTTAAGATATGAAGGGGCCTGACCATGAAGAGCTTTAAAGGTGAGGAGGAGAATTTTAAATTTTATTCTACATTTTACAGGGAGCCAGTGCAGAGAAGCAAGTACAGGAGAGATGTGATCTCTTTTTCTAGTTCCTGTCAGTACTCGTGCTGCAGCGTTCTGAATTAATTGGAGCGTTTTTAA